TTCTTCAGCTCCTCCACGTTTCTAACATCTACAGCCTTTCCCCCTTCCCCTCTTCTCCAAACACTTTCTTTTCCAACTTCGATTCATCCTCGTACCACTCACTCTGGGGCATTTTAGTTTGATATTTTTGCTTTTGCATTAGGCTTCAAAGAGCTCAAAGTTCCTTCGCAGAAGCAAGCTTACGGGGAAAGGGTATTTTAGCCAACAGAGGACGGGAATAACCAAATACCTAATGGAGGCGGGGATAGATATTCCCGGGAAAGCTGACTAAAAATTCATTGTTGGTATTATTTCATTCCTGACACTTGGTAATATGATTGATCCAAACGTGGGTATATTCTCCCAGGAAAAAAATATTACTCCCAGGAATAAATTATACCCTGAACCAAACGGGGCCTTAGAGCATCCTTGGTGGTTGCATTAGATGATCTTAGGGTTAACAAACACTGAATCAGGCATAAATTGGATCGTTGATCTCATAAGAGATCCAACGGTGTAAGTTGGGCGGCTCTGGGAATGATTGAAAACCCTATCTGCATTGGGCTACTGCTTAGGGCTTTTCAATGATTGGACTGCTTCAGTTCGGGCCTTTGATACTCATTGGGTTGTTTGTAATTACTTTGGGCCTGTAACAAAAAAAATATATAATGCATTTTAAATGAATGTTACATATATATATATATATATATAATAATGGTTACATATTCCCATAATGATAATATATATGGCCACACCCATAAATAATATAATATAATTAATAATAATATAGTATAAACCCAAACAATACATTTAATACTTTATAATTTAACATTTTATAAATTAATTTAATGGCTCAACGAGTGTTGTGGAATTTTTATAATTATACACAATTCATGTCATTCATGTATTTCTTTCTTGGTTTTTCTCTCAATTCTTCAAAATTTTATTTTAATTAATTTGAATCGACTCATATTATATATTTAGTTTTAGTAGATGATTCTTTTAACGAAGATATTTGTAAATACAAGATTTTAAACTTAAAATCAATTTAAGTAATATTAGACTACTTGTTACTTGAATCAATTCATTGATTCATATTATTTTATTTTAATGAATTTTATATCGCGTTCAATATTACGATTATAAACGTGTTACCTTTTATGTTTTGTGACGTTAAAATTCAATCTGAAACAGAACGCGTGATGTAATCTAACAAAATGGGTTGGCTTTATTTATTTGATTTTAGTAACTCCATCTATTTCTATTTTGCCTCGATGATGTTTCTTCATTTAATATTATCTTTTAAAAACAAATTATAGAAAAGAAAAAGTGAAATGGAGTTTGTCGGTCATGCGTACTGGTATGACATGGGTTAGGTTTATGATCAATTTGACTCGATCTAACCTAAAAATTATATATCTTGCAGTTAATTTGATCAGATTTTAAAAATATATACCCTTTATTCGATTCAGATCCGACCCAACATCTTGTGATAAAATTTAAATTTGATCTGACCCGAAATAATATATTTATTAAAAAATATTATTTTTATTCAATAAAAATATAATATAATTAAATAATAATATTAAATAGAAGAGTATTATTGAAATTATCTTTAAATATATAATATAAAATTATAAAAAGAGAAGTATTATTGTAATTATCTCTAAATATAAAAAATAAAATTATATATTATTGTAATTATTCTACCCAAACATAACATCTAAAACAATTTGATCCGAGCTAATTTGATCTGAATTTATTTTAAAAAAAGTTTTGGAATCAGATCAAAATCTGTTTGATTCATGTCCCGTGCTCATCGTGCCTCCACTTTAGCCGACTTTTTTTGTTTTTGTTTTAGTTTTAGTTTTTGTAATGATTGGTTTACTTCACTCGTGTCACAATTTCAGTATGTCATGGTTAATGAGAACAAGGAATTTCACGGTAGAAGAACAAGATTAATTTTAGAGTGAACAAGGATATTTCATTTCATAAATTTTACGATGTATATTATTTTTATTAAAAGTTCTACTCTCTGAACAGATATATTAGTATAATATATATATATATATATATTATTAATTAGTTAAGAAATTTTAAATATATATTATTTTATAAATAATTAAGTATTGTTATTATCATGTTTTTTTTCATTCTTGATTCTTCGGCTCAGTTATACTTTTAATTACTTAGGTCATAACAACTGTAAAAAAAAGTCAAATAACACATATCATATTCATATTTTTTGAAATTTTTATTTTTCAAAATAAAAACACTATTTTAAAAAAAAATTCTAGAAAAATTAATCTCCATCCCCCGTGCAATTTTCCTCCCCCTCCATCTCACGCTCCATCCCCCTCCATTTTAATGAAGGATTTGAAGTATTGCTTTCTGAAGCTGTTTATTTTCCCAACAACTATTTGATTATTTATCTACCAAAAATTAATATTTTAGATTTCACTTAATTAAAAATATTATTTTTTTTTAATATTTTTTATTGTCTGTTATTAACCTTAAATTATACCGTCGTTCTTTAGACATTTTCGACTTGTAAGTCGTCCAAAAATGGTGAAAGAGTTTGCAGAGGGAGTTCTTGTTTTGAAGCTAAAGAACTGCTTAAAATAAATGAGCACTGGCCACATACTTTCTACTTTATTATTATTACAGGCATCTGATCATTACTTATTGTAAACTGCGTGTAATCTATATGTGGTTAAACAGTAGAGATAAATCTCATCACAGACAAGAAAAAGAGTTGCAGCACAAGCATAACAATGGCACCATCAGACCTAGCTGAACAGCGGGAACTCTTCCCCACAAACTCCCGGTACGGGTGCAATGGGCGCATTCACGTTCGGCAAAACAGCTGGAGAGGCTAAAATTACAGGCTTATCGGTGACAGTTTGAAAATTAGACAAGAAAATGACCAATGGCATAACAACAAACAATTTAGAGCTAGTAGTAGCCATGGATGTGGTCTGGAACTTTAGAAAGCAATAGCTCAAATCCTCCATTAAAATGGAGGGGGATGCAGCGTGAAAGGGAGAGGGAGCGGGAGGGAAATTACAGCGGGGACGTGGTTGATTGAAGGATTATTATTTTTTTTTAAATTTAAATAATGCTTTTATTTAAAAATAATTTTTTTAAATATGAACTGACATATGTTCTTTAATATTTTTTTAATGATCATTAAAACTTAAGTATCTAAAATTGTAATGAAAGAAACATTAAACATCTATTTTAACAAAAAAAAAATCTTTAAAACCTAATATTAAATTAACTAAGAGTATAATTTGAACACTAATTTTTATATTAAACTAGATTCTTCATGTAAGTTCCTAGCCCCTAAAACTTTGTTTTAGTTCACCAACTTTTAAGTCGGCCTTACCCAGTCTATTACCAGCTTCAGTCGGTGGCATCGAACCAAGCCTCGAATAAATTATTTTATTTGAGTATAGTTGAATTAACCGGTCGGATTATAAATTAATGATTTAATCGATTTGATTATTCATTCAAATTTTAAAATATTAACCGGTGTCCAGGCCTTTCCTCTCATATTCGGTTCGAAATGTTTTAAATTTCTGGTTTTTTATTATAATAATAATTAATAAATTATTATTTTGGTTTTTTAAAATTTTGATTTTTATTTATTTATCATGGCTCTAAAACATCAAGATATAAATGAGAAAAGCTTGTAATGAATTTATGGGAAATGAAATTAGGCATGAAATTGGCTAACACTAAATGATTCGAACACTTCAAATGACGAATTAGACTGAGATCTCAAGGAAGGCGTGTGGTTGAGAATTTCGGTGCCTGTTTTCACTGCCTAACTTCAATTGAAAATATAGGCGGAATGCATTGACCCAAGAGTATGATAATATAAAATTAATTTACAGTGATGCGAAGCCGATTTATTTATTGTGATGGAAACGCTTTCACTTGATTCATACGAAAGTCCAGTACTTGAAAAGCCTCAAAGGAAGAAAAAAAAAACAGATCTAGCTAGATTATGAGCGTCCATATTGTGGGTTCGTCTAATCCAACGAACCTTAACATCCTAATGATCAGGGACCAGGTTCTTGAACTCAATAACAATGCATCTAAATTCCGCCCACTCATCCTCCGTTGAAGAAACACCAGGCTAGGCTATGATTTCCTGTGCGTCTGGCGCCTCTCAGAGAGAAAAAGCCTGGATTATGTGCGACTCCAGCACCCACGAACTCACCATTCGGATCTCGCACTATAAAATGATCTAAAATTACTCTTCATTGCCAAACAGACTTTAGCTCAATGACGAAATTGATTGAAAATCATCTTGGACTTGCTGGGTGCTCGGTATTTGCCATGAGAACAAAATCAACTTAAAGTTGGGTAGTATCTCTCAAGTCTTCTTTTAACAGCCAACTCTGCTTGAAAGCAACATTAAATCATTTCTATTGTCATTTTCGATTGTTGAAAATACCATTTTTCCTTATGCGGACAATGCAATATTCCAGTGATCCCATTAAATTGTTCGGAAGGGTATATAAGTTAAAAAAACAGGAAGCCACCGGAGGCTAATGTTTTATGGACGCATTAGGAGATAATAACAGTGGTGGTTGGTGGCTTCGGTAATTGGTAGATAGTGTTTAAATAGCTAATTGGTAAATTTGTACGCAATACAATTGCAAAGCAACCCTACAAAGACCAAATGTCCAGCCACCAACTACAATTTAGAAGTGAAGATTCATACGTTGAGCTTTATACATGACTAGATTTTGAGAACAAAAAAGATATTATATTTCACCCAATAGATGTGACAATTCGTGTCACGCTCGAGTGTTTTGATGTGCTATAATAATGTTCAAGGTTGAGCTTTAAACACAGAAAAGTTTGAATACTATCTCCCTTCTCCCTAAAATGTGTTTTAGGAAATAATTTATTTCCTATTTCTTCCCAATTCCAAAAAGGGGGCCCTGAATGACTATTTAAGTAATATGCCGGTTTCTCCTAATAAGTAACTATTTGGTGAAACGAACAATGAAATAAGACCAGAATTAGCTGGCTCTTTTATAGCAATCCAAACACGTTTAAGGTAGTAAACCAGTGCCACAGATCTAGACTGTTTATACGTCCAACTAAAAAACGACAACCTCTGAAATTAAAGGATTAATCAAGCAGCTGAAACTATTTACAAACCAAGTGCTACCGAGCAGCTCCATATGCATATTGTCCCAGTAGATTTGGTTAGATTCCCAAACTCATCACCTTTCTTTCTGTCCTGCATCATCAAGCAATTATGTATCATCACTAAAGGGTTTCAAACATAATACACTAATTCAACAGCTAATAAATGCTATGTTTATATATATATATATATATATATAATTTATGAAATAACAAATCCCCACAATCACAAGGTGACAACAAAGGTCATATAAAAAAACAATCCCCAGAAACCATGACAGATGAATAAGGAAAACATTAATGATACAAACCTTTGCCTCAAGTTCGCTTGCGCTTAGCAGCTGCTGTTTTGATATTCTTAACAATATAGGCAATGACTTCCTTAAGGGTGGCTTTCCTGTTTTCCTTGAAGTTCCAGAGCTCGGAGACTATATATCTCCCACTAGGATTATACTCATTTAGTTCTTTCAAAGCTGTCACCACTGCCATGTAAACCTCTTCACTCCAATCCTGCTTTAGATCTTTTAGTTTCTCGTCTTCTTCGTTTAGGATTTCCTGCACAATGCACAAGATTAATGAGTTCAGTCATTCCTCTATTTTCTTTCTTAACAGCAACATCCCTCTCTCACAAGGGAGCTCCAACAAAAAAGGAAACTTTGAATATCAAAGACAAGCTTAAAATAGCTATTTCCCAAAAGATCCCATTAAAAACTTTTGCTGAAAATCAGGTAGTACAATCAATGAAAGAGGCCATCTATAAGTAATCACCAATTCCCTGCAGTTAGGATGAAATATAGCAAAGGCTCTAGGGCATTTATAATTTCTGATAACATTAAGTAGATCCATAGGAATATTATCTATTATTTTCCACTTCATTCTCCATCTGACACCAGAAATTAAACATACACGAAGAATACAATTCCATGAACAATTTGATACAGGGACCAAGACCAATTGAAATACAACCGAAGACCATTTGACTTATAGGTTGTTATATATACCTTATGATTCCCTCCCTCTGTTATAATTTTGAATGGATGCCACTCTGAATTCTTTAGATTCTCTTGCCACGACGAGCATAGAGTAGTGGCCTGAATTTCTGCTTCATCCGGAGGGAATCGAGACTTGCAGGCATCATGGAACGGCTTCAGGTCAAGCTCGCCCATTCTCTTCAATCCTATGTTTGTACGAGCACTCAACAGCTCGTGCATACTCTACAGACAAGAAAAAAATTGTTTAACAAGCAGTTGCATGAGTCTACGCAGTACTCCAAGGTTTGGGCAACTATAATTCAGTATTAAGCCGAGAAAACATAAGCAGTACCTGAATTAGCACTTTCCTTGCATCCTGTAGCTCATCATTACTTTGACGCTCTTTCGTTATAAGAACTTGGTTCGTCGATTCCAAATCTTTCATATCATCTTCCTTATCTCGCAACTCATTCTCCATCTCTTTCATCTTCTCTTGTACAGCTGCATCATCTTGTCCAAGATGCTTCATCACTTGCAGCTTGCCTCTCAAGTCTTCAATTTCCATTTCCAACTTCTGCTTCACATCTAGCTGTTTTTCCAACTGAAGTATCTTTTTCAGGGCCTCTTCTTTCTCCCTCTGGAAATTTAAAAATCCCATCATCAGAAATAGAAGACATGAAACAACTATAAAGTAAAAAAACCATATATACTAATAAATTACTAAGTGCACCACCTTCTGCTCTTCAACCAGCCTTAATACATTTTCATCAGCCTTTTTCTGCTCCATGGAAGCAAGCTGAAGTGAATCGTTTCTTTCATTATTCTGAAAAGATGAAAGCAAATGTCAGTGACAGGTGCATATCATATATAATGAAACTAATTATGCCCACAGCAGTTTAGACATTTGTCACCAATTTAACCTTAGTATTATTAAGTCAGCAGCAACTTTTGACACTAAAATTAAAAGCTATTCATATTACTTTCAATAAAAAATGTTGGATCTTAATTTTATTAGGTCGAAGCAACAGAATTCTTGGCCATGATAATCAATGGGTCTTTAGCCGTAAAAGAAAATTTTAATTGATGATGCTTGTGAAATACGAAAGATAGTCCCATACCTAGAGCTAACATTTAATAGCAGGAGATAAACAGAAGAAAAATTAATTTGGATAATAGGACACTTAAATGACCAAATAGTTGTTACCAAATGTGAAGACTAGCAAAATATTATAAACTAAATGTGAAGACTAGCTGCTTATAGCAAGGAAAGACAGATAACCTTTTTCTTCTCTTCATCGAGCTTTTGCTTTTCACGCTCGGTTAGTGTCTCACGCTTGTTCAGTTCTCTGGTCCAATTGTCAATTTTCCTTTTCTTTGTTTCCAGTTCAGAATTCAGCTTTTCCTGTTCTTCCAAGATCCTTCGAACATTGTCGCGAGCAAGCCGCTGCATCTTCCTTGTCTCTAATGAACAATATAACACGAAAATGGCTTAAACCATACAAAATTCTGGTTTTATAATCATGATGGATTACTAGAGTTCATGAATATCTTTCAGAAGGGGAAAAGAACTCAGATGTATTTTTTATCAGTACATTGGCCATTAGCTTGACAAAACATTGGAGATTCGAATACAATCTTAAATCCAGCATGTAAGAATAAAACATAAAAGACATGGTCCAGTTTATTACATCATGGAGACAAGGCATTTGAAAGTGATGCATGGCACGTTGTTTAGAAAAACATGGCAACGTTCTAACATTCTAAAGTATTAAAAAAAGAAGGCATATACAACCAACTAAATATATGACATACAAGCATGTATATTGAAAAAGAAAAACAGGACAACTGAAAGAAACTAGAACAGACCTTCAATAAAGGCAAGGTGCAGCCTGTCTTTCTCTTCAAGCATTCTGCTTAAGGACATAGTTGTCTCGTTGTATTTGTACTGTAATTCGTCTAGATTTTCATTTGTCAAATCAATTCTTGTTGTCAACTTGACCACAACACTATTCCTATCTTGAGCGGTTTCTTGGACAATGTCAGAAATGGTTCGTAATTTCCCTACCTTACGAAGATAATCACCTATTGGCCCATCAGAATTGTAGTCATCAGCACGTGCACACCAACCATAGATATTAGAACCAAGCTGTCCTTGTTGGCCATTCCAATGCTTCTTACTGTGCCGCTCAGATTCAAAAGCCTTCTCAAATTCAGTTGCATTCACATAGCCAGTCCAATCACTATTGAACATTAGTATGGCTTGTCCAGTCAGGTCAACCTCATTCCAGAAACATTGAACATCTAAAGGTTTGTATTTAACAAACCTCCTCAGCCAGTAGCCTTTATCATGATAGGCATCTATAGTCTTCAAGTCTGCAACTATGTTCATGATGATTCCCATCCAAGGGCAGACATAAACTTCAGTTTGCTCTGGAGTCTGGTTCAAAACTTGTTGTACAGTTGGAAGTGAAGTCTCATCAGCTTCACCAGCTAGGTCAACTTCCAAATACTTTGCCAAGGCCAGGTGGTTTGCCTTCTGTTTTGCACTTCTGTTGGCAGATCCTTTGCTCACACCAGAAGCATGTTGAAGCAGGTCCTTGAACTTGTAGTCTTGTTTCTTCTTCCCAGCACAAAAAGGGCATCTTAAGCTACCATTTAAGGCCTTTACTTTGTACTTCCCAGACCTTAGCTCCTCGTATGGCTTTTCCATGTACTCATTGATCTCAGAATCACTAAAATCTGATTCTTCTCCAGAGCTGCTGTCCATCTGATCAGTCTACATATTAAACAAGTGTTACTAATAACAATAAAACACAGCTGAAATCATTGCTAATTTAAACCATAGATGAATGGATCTCTCTCCAATTTGCTAGCTAGTTTTCAATCAAGGAGAGCAACATACAATTAAAAGCCAAAAAAACTCGTAAAAAATTGAAATTTTTTAAAGAAGCAGGGGATAAATCAACCATTAGTTGGAGAACATTGAAAGATTAAAGGAACTTACAACGTATTCCTAAGCTATACATCCAATATTGACTAAATTTTAAAACATGCAATGCTTCAGTCGATTAATACACTTCGATTACATAAAGTTAATAGCTCCATGCAATGAGTAATCGGAATACATACTTTTCCTTGACATAAATTTTTTTTGAAAAATACATTTTCATGCAATCTTCTCAGCTAATCTGTCGTAATAAAGGAAATGCATTACATAATATTAATCGGAACCAGGGTTCCAAGCCGTACGCCACCGCTAAAGACCTAAATAGCGCTGTGAACAAATTTCACATCAATAGCAGCGGATCGCGGTCTATTAACAGAAGTGTAACGGAAAATAGCGGAGATCGGGGTCCGCTATCTCCGCCTAACCAAAAGCTTAAAAATATTATCCTTCTAGACAATGTAGAGAGAGAGAGATGAAACAGAGTAACAAGCAGTAGGATCGAAAACAAAAATTCAAATATAGCAGTGATGCAAGTAGAAATCAGTGTTCAAGTTTAGGGTTTCAAAAATTACCAGAGTGGTGGTGAGAGCCGAGAGGCTTGCTTGGCAGCGGGGAGTGTGCTGAGAGATACTCTGAGAGTAGGTAGAAAGTTTAGAATAAATCTATTTTTGATGTCGTGTCTATACTTCTAAAACAAAATATACGTTAAACTAGTAGAGTTAATTTACATCAATTTAATAAAAAAAATAGATAATAATATTCTTTAAAGTCAACAAATATTATTAAATTTTACAATGTTCATTTTATATATGAAAAAGAAGAATCCACTTTCACTAATGATTTTTTTAGTGGATGATTAGTGTTAGTGATTGTTATTTTCTCTATTTAAAAGTCTTAAAACATCTAAATTACCTTTTATTGTTGTGATTTCGATTTCGTTTTTTGTAATCCCTTTAATTGAGTTGGTGTTTTTGACTTGAGAAACGAAAATTTTCTACGTAGTACATCTACAATGGTATATTATATACAAAGTTTTAATTGAAATTGTATTATAAATTAATTAAATATTAACTAGATGAATCCCAAAAAAAAAAAATATAAATTTAATTGATCAAAAGCCCTAACTCTAAAAAACCCAAATCCAAAAAGACCCTAACCCAACAAAAATGAGCCTAAATATTGACCCCTAATTAAACAATTCGGCTAATGGGCCAAACTTACTTCATCGCCATTAACCTCAATTTGATTACATTTCCTCTTCGTCATTATTTAATCTCGTCAATACTACAATCATGGATGCAAACATTAAGGATTGAGGGTGGTGTCATTTAAAAGGACAGCCAATACAATAAAAAAAGATGCAAAATCTCTTAGGCCAGCAGAGGGAACAAAGAACCGAGCTGAAATTAGAGGCCGAGCTAAGAAAGCCATTAACATCCACAAGGAGGAGGAATTTATGCCACCTATTATTATTCTCCCTTAAAATCTTTCTTATGGTTCCACCTATGATTTGATGTTTCACTTTCTCAAAGCTGTTACGGTATCAATCGGTGATAAAGAACAATAGTGGATTGTTCCTTTTCTTTTATAATTTGATCTAGTTTTGATGGGGATGTAAATAAAAGAAGAAAGTACTCCACCAATGGTTCAAACGGTGTTGAATATTTTAGTAGTCCATTTTCAAAGATTCCACTTATCAAGTTTCTGTCATTAACTTAATAACATCATAATACATTTCGCTATTATCGTTTTTAATGAATCAACCCCTCGTTTGTTCTTCAATGTTAAAAGTAGACAGAGAATTCATAATTCACGTCTCATGTTAAAAGCCTCTTTTTCAACTATTTCAGCTACTACAAGACTTCTTCAATGCCCCATCCCTCCATTATTTCATTTGTTTCAACCACTAGCTTTTCTTTTTCCCCTCTTATCTCTTGGGATTCTCCAAGTCAACTCTTTGTCTATACTATAAATACCACTCATTAAGCTCATCAGTAACATCCAAAACAACTGAGACAAACGAGTGCAGAAACTTAAGCCTTCTCTCCTCTTCTATTAGTGCATTTATTATTAGTTTAGATTTGTTTTCTTTAGTAGTTTGTCTTGAATATAAGTGATAGAAATGGAGAATAAGGATGTTCCATTGGCTCCTTCAACCCCTGCAACACCAGGGACTCCTGGTGCTCCACTCTTTGGTGGGGTTAGAGAAAATCAAAGAGTTGGGATTAATAGAAAATCCCTTCTCAAAAGCTGCAAATGCTTCAATGTTGAAGAATGGTCCATGGAAGAAGGGAGATTACCACCCGTATCTTGCTCATTGCCACCTCCTTCAGTCTCACTCACAAGAAAGGTAGACACCAATAATTTACGAGAGATGTTTATATGGTTTAGTATCAAACAGATTATTTGAGAATTCAACTAATACCGTTTGCCATTTTTGTTTGGAAAAAAAACCCTGCAGGTGGGTGCTGTGTTCATTGTAACTTTCATACTAATCTTTTCCGGTACTGCCACTGCTATTGTGAACAAAAAGACCCAAGGCTCTGAAACTCTGATTGGCGTCGCTGCATCCACCGGCCTTGCGGTCATGATCGTTATACTCTCCACCGTTCACATCTCGGGAGCACATCTCAACCCAGCCATCACCATTGCCTTTGCTGCTCTCAAGCACTTCCCTTGGAAACATGTACACAGTTAAACCTACAACTCTCCTTTTTTCTTTTCTTTTTTTAATATCTTTTAAACAACATATTTCTGGGCAGGTACCAGTGTACATTGGAGTACAAGTAATGGCGTTATTATGTGCTGCATTTGCACTGAAAGGTGTGTTTCATTTCATCCTATGATGGGAGGAGTGACTGTTCCTTCAGGGGGATTTGGTCAAGCTTTTGCTATGGAATTTATTATTAGCTTCAATATCATGTTTGTTGCCACCGACACCAGAGCTGTACGTCCCCTTCTCCATCTTCATGCATATATCCAACTTTTACAAATGCGTAAGACAAACTTTCTCAGGAATCCTCCAAGAGACGAGTCCCTCGAAGATTCAGTTATTTTGTTTTTATATTTTGTTTCATAAATTTTCAAGAAACAAGAGTCAATGAAGGTGGTTGGCAATGACAAGCTCAATCTCCAATGCATGAAAATAAAACTAAAAGATAATTATAAAATATAAAGGTTTTTCATATAGGTGAATATAGAGGAACGCTATTAATTAGGGATGTAAAATCGGGTAATCGTTCAGGTTTCAGTCGGATCCTGTCAGGTTGGGTAAAATCATATACATGTCAAGTCAGGTAAATTTGATGCTTCGATTCGGATCAGGTCGGGTCCAGGTCAAATCAGGTCGGGTCATTTTCAGGTTGATTTGACACACAGTTCGGGTTCAGGTCGGGTTACTTTCAGTTCGGATCGATGTCAGTTCAGGTCAAAACAGTTCAGGTCCGGAGCAGATAAAGACCAGGTTAATTTAGGTTCGGATGGACTTCAGGCGGATCTCATTCAGATCAGGTGACATCATTGGCAGATAAAATTGAGGTTGGATCTTTATCAGACACGGATTGAGTTCAAATCGGGTCAAATTTTATTTTTTGATTAATTATTTTCTTCTTTCACGAACGTTGAATTGCAATTTTAAATTGTATATAATTTAGAGTAAATTACTAAGAATATAAATAATCATGGATCCATTTTATGAAAAATATAAAATTAAGGACTAAATTAAACAAATATGAAATTACAAGTAAAAGTTCAAATAAATTAAAATACATGCATTTATGAGGGACCAAATCAAAATAATTTTAAAATGTGAGGTTGAAATTAATATAAAAAGTAATAAATTATACTCATTTAAAAAGTTATGGGCCAATTAAAAAATATAAATAAGTAATAAGTATGGGTCAATTTCAGATTCAAATATAATTTTAAAGACTAAATTGAACAAATATGAAATTACAAATAAAAATTTAAATAAATTAAACAACACAAAGAGATCAAATCGAAATAATTGTAAAATGTGAAGAAAATCTATAAAATGGGCTAAATTATATTCATTTCAAAAGTTGAGAAAAAAAATTGAAACAATTATAATATTGTCAACACATCTTTTCGTCCTACTAGGATTCAAACTCCTAAAAATATGATAGAATTTTGCTAGGATTCAAATTCCTAAAAATAGGATAGAGTTCTACTATTATTTAAACTCCTAAAGATAGGATCCATAAGCATTATAAATAGTCATTGTAACTCACTATTGTAACACATTCGGAGGAGGATATACGAAATACCAAGCAAAAAATTACAAGCAACTCGTAGCCATTTTTCGAAGCATTTATATTTTGAAATGTAAAGTTTATACCTTTGCATGTTATTTTTCCTTACCCTTGCTGTGTTTTGATTTCGAAAGAAAACTGAGAGAAGTGTTTTTGGCCGATGAACGAGGGCGTTTTCGAGATCTATTTTTATAGATCTAGTCCCCGAGGCTTGTGTTTTTGAAAAACTATTCGGATTTTTATAAATGGGTCGTGTGGATCCACGTGTTTTGTCGTTTTTTCTTCGATTGGCTTTTAATTTTGACCCCTAATTCATTTTTTATTTTAATTTAACCCTTATTATTTATATGTATATATGTATATATTTAATTATATTTTATTTATTTATTTATTATAATTTTTTCATTTTTCTTTACATTATATTATATTATTTTCCTATTATTATATATATATATTATATTACTATTTTTTTTATCTATGTTTACTTATTTACTATGTTTTTTTACTATATTTTCTTAAAGTTATATATATATATATTCTTACTTTATTTTATTTTATATTTCTATGATTATTATTTTTTTAGTTAATATTATATGTATATTTATTTTTCATTTATTTATTATTATTAATACTATTTAGTATTTTATTATATTATACATACATTTTTATATTTTTATATATATATTTTTTATTAATTTATTTATATTATTTATTTATTTTCATTATATTTTTAGTTTCTTTGCTCTTATTATTATTTTTATTTTTTTTTAAAAACACTTTACCTTTTTTATTCTTTTTGTATATATATATTATCTTCATTTATTTTATTTTATTCAATTTTATTTTTTTTCATCCAATTATTTTATGTTTATTATTATTGGTTTCATTTATTTCCTTGGTTTACTCTTTAGTTTTGTTACTTTCTTTTATTATTATTATTTTCTTTTAAAATCTTATTTTTTAAGGGTATTTCCGTAAACTCATTAAGGGTAAGTAATTCGGATCAAATTTTACCTTTTAATTTAACTTGCAATTTTCTTAATCAAAGACAACTGAAAATTACGTAGTACCGAAAGGACGGTTCAAGGGTGCTAATCCTTCCTTTATCGTAACCGACTCCCGAACCCGACACATCTTTGGAAAGACGCAGATCAGGTAAGAAATAGGGTATCCGATCAACCCATTTGTTTTAAATAAATGATCGGTGGCGACTCTAATTCACATTTTTCAAGTCGAAGCCCAATTTCAGGGCCCAACCGAAAGACGGTTGCGACAAATATGTATATTTATATTAATTATATATATTATGTATAAATTGTATAGTTTATATATATATAATATATATACTTTATATATAAACTATATAGTTTTTTTAAAACCCAAATAAA